TGAGTCAGATATTTTACTTTTTACTTGTTTACTTTTTTGCTTTTTACTTTTTTTTATTTTTTTTTGATTTTTACTTATTTTTTAATTACTTTTTTACTTTTCATGGGTCCATATATTTTGCTTTTTTACTTGTTTACTGTTTTATTGTTTTACTTTGCTTGGTTTCTGTTCCTTTGTATTTGTTCACTTTTACTACCAAAATAGAAAAATCTTCATTTTTCCAGGGTGGTTGCTCTAGGTTCTACAGAAACATGCATTTGGTGCAGGTAAAATGCATGTGTCTGGAGTTGTGTGCTCACTGCATACATGGAAAACAACGTGCATTTTTGCAGGGTTGTTACAATCTGTTATGCAGAATTTCCCAGCGTGCTGAGTTCACCACATGAAAATATCTGCTAAACAAGAGGGCATCAGGTACATCTGCAGACAAGAGTCTATTGAAAAGACACACAAATGATTTCCTCTTCCTTCATCTTGGAAATCATTGTGGATGAAGAGGAGAGAAATATAAGATAGTAAAATAAAGAGAAGATATGAATGGGTGAAAGAGATCCCATTCATCTGTCTCTTAATTGCTTTCTCTTTACCTTCATCTTGGGTTTATCTGTAAAATCCTTGATGAAGAGAATTAGAATGGATGGTTATTAATATAATCCAATATTCAATATTAGGTGACAAATCAAGAGATGCCACCTACAAACCCACTCACCCGGCCCATTCCTTCGTGTGGCCGGTGATTGACAGGCTGGAGAGGAGAAAGGAAACAGCCTGGATTCATCATTTGGCTTCTCTTCCTTGTCTTTTCCCTTCATCTCCGGATCCAGATGGTTAGGAGAGGTTCCAGAAGGAAGGAATGGCATGTGATAAAGGGAGATATGACCTCATCCAGCATTAGAATTTGGATGAGGAATAGAAAGGCTTGGAGCCAAATAATAAATCTCTAGATTAATAGCATTTACACATATTTTGCTATCCTATATTTCTCTCCTCTTCATCCACAATGATTTCCTTTTCCTTCATCTTGGAAATCATTTGGTCTCTCCCTTTCTCACCTCTTAATCACATCCTAGATACAGAGGTGAAAGGGATGTGATGTGAGAAAGAGATAGAGAAATAGAATGGTTTTATGATGCATCCCTCACCGTCTCATCTTGAGATCTATTAATTATTAACTGCGGTTCTTTCATATTTTTATATTTCTATCTTTATCAGGTTATTTGTATACATTGATATTTTGCATTTGTGTCTCTAGGAACTACCGAAAGGACTAGAATGGTGGACATTTTTTCATCCACTATTTCATTCCCGTGTCATCTCACTGTCTCACTCACTTTCCTGTTCCTTCGTCACCCATCATCATCTCCCTTTCTTTTCTGTTGTTATTTTCCTTTCGTATCTTATAGAATCTCAGGAATACAAATGAAAGGGAAATAATACGATATGAAAATAGCTGTGTCCAAGAGAGAAAAGACACAGCGGCTATTAATGAAGACATCTTAAGAATATGTGGGTTACATTTGGATGAATCTTAGAGAGACACCAAATGTAATGACCAGATGGTGACAAAGAAATCTCACCATCATTCATCTCTTTCCATCTCTTTTCCTTTACTGTAATCTCATGGTCTTTCACCTACAGCATAGAATGGTGGTTGGGTGAAAGGACATGTCACTCACCACCTCTTCATTCCTCATCTCTTCGTCATCTATCAGGGCACTGTCTGTCTTTACTTCTGTTCAGCCTCATCTGTTCAATCAGCTAAAATGACACTTGCTCAATCCACTCTGGCACAAATCCATTTGAAGAGTGATGAAGCCAGATGGCAGAAAACAAAGACCTACACTTCCTCAATCCACTCTGGCACAAATCCATTTGAAGAGTGACGAATTTTTTTGGGGCGGGGATAGCATATATATATATATACATATATGTATATCTACTATCTTCATCAATAGAAACCATATGACAGTTTGCTGGATTTTCCAGATCACCGCGGACTTTCGGGTTCGGATTTTTCACGGATGTAGGCAGGGTTCCTGCCGGCTCACTTCACATTTTGAGGTTGAATACATATGGGCTAGCATCACACTACTGTTGGGGGCAACAGCCGAGGGAATTTGGGCATTCGATTTGCGTGCGGTTTTCAACCCATTCCCAAGTTCCTGCCAGGTGGTTGGAGAAGATGTGCCTTGGCCGGCTCTTGGCAGCTCCACCCCACATCGATTCGGGGAGGGGGAAGAGTGATCTTTCGAGTTCCAATGTTTAAGAAATCAACCCCACCTTCCTTGCCCATGGAAATCGCTGGGCTCATATGTCTTTTGACGCTTTTTTGGTCAGTTTAGAGACAGGCGGAATCCACTAGTTTCAGTTGTTTCAAAACACGTACTGGTGCCATCCATTGTTTTCCAACAGGACGACATACATGCGCCTTTCCCAACGTCCTGGCTGGCGCCACCCCTTGGCTGCCCCTTAGCCCACTCGGATTTATTTCTTGCATCAATCCACCTGCGGGTTCTTGATAAAATTTATTGGGTTGTGGGGTCTTTCTTTCCGGGGATTATTGCAGGGTGAAAACGAACACACACTCACACGAGACCATTTGCAACCAGCTGGTTGCTCCAACGACGGGTAGAAGCTTTGCACTCAGAAAGGGACCCCCTGAAAAGGCAAAACACACATTTGGTCTTACCAAACAAAGCCCTCGTTTTCTTCCAAGTTCCCCACTTGGGCTGCTGCGCCTGGCGCCTGGCGCCTGGCATTGCCCGAGGCAAGAGTCGGGGTCCGAACCCACGGCCGGGTGCTTCTTATCGCTGCTGGTGGCGGAGTGCAAGAAGGGCCAGCTGCATCAGGCGGAAGCCATCTTGGAGGACCATGGTTTTGGGGTAGGTTGTGTCAGGGTTTCCACCCCCAAACTACCCGGACCCATGGGTAGAGTGGTGAGTTAGTGGTGGTATCGTTGTATACCCAAATTTGCCTTGCAGTGGTTTTGAGATGGGGTGGGGAGAGCTCTCGCATTCTCAGCCCTTGGCATCGTTCTTCCGACCCTCCCATTTCTCCAGGGATCTTCCAACAGTGCCCAAATGTCGGGGCAAATTCTTACGGGCTCACCTGACCTAAAACTAGCTCTGACAAGGGTGAGGATGGAAAAGGAGTCAACCCTTAGATACTAGAGAACATTCCTGCGAGGCTGTACTTCCTGGTCCCTCCCCCATTTTCTCGGGAACAACTATTTGGATATACCAACTATACCCGCTTACCTGAAACCTGACTGGGAACCTCAGGTGTCTTTTTGGGGATGGTTACCACTCCACTGTTGTCTTTTTGGAAGGGTTTGTCGGTGTCCGCCGGGGCACCGGGGTTTTGACCCGCCAAATCAGCCGAGTCTGACCAACCGCTGGGCTTTTTGGATCGGCACCTCAGGACCTGACGCGGCAGTTCCCGAACGCGCGGCTGCAGGCTGGGTCCACATCTTTTCCCCCGGGTCAGTGCGCGAGGTGCAGCTGGAACCCTCATGGACAACTCAAGATGCTTGGCTCCTGATGGTACCGGGGCCCCGCATGTGACTGGTGACCAACGAACAACTATACAATGGAATGAAACATGTAAGAATTCGTCAAGCATATATGTTTCATTCATTCATCAATCTATTGTTTGGTTTATCTATTTTCTTGTTTTGTTTGCTTGCCTATCGATTTTCCTATGCCTCAACTCTCCTTCTATTTTTTTCACGGGAGCAAAGCCTGAACTGCAGAAGGATCTTTGGTTCCATTGCAACAGGCGACCACCGTGCTGCTGGACGCCTGCGCCAAGCACGGGGACCTGGAGGGCGCAGAGAGGCCGAGGGCCGTGTCCAAAACCAGGGTGTGAGGGAAGCCATGTTAGGGTTTGGTCTCATGTGGGTTCACTCTGGGGTGGGTGAGTGTCTTAAAGTTGCGGGACCTCAAAACAAGGCACCCCTTCAAACCACGCTCCTAGAAGAGCAAAACGACACCTTCAGATGTCTTTTCGTGGGTGAGAAGCTGGACCCCTTGAGCTAGAAAAGAACACAAAGAGGACAGACGGTGAGTTGGATTCCCGCCGAGACGGTGAGTTGGATTCCCTTGAACGGGGGAGAACCCGGAAGGCATGAACATGACCAAACAGCAAAACATAGGAAATACAACAAAAACAAACATGTGCAAGGAATTGCATGTGTTCAAACGTTGAAACAACCAAGATTCGAGACCTGCACACTTACTCCTACCCGCTAAGTAATATGTGGAAGGGGGGGACGTATGCCTCAAATAACCAATCCCCGTACGTTATGCCTTTGCAGATGCAACTCCACGCTTTTCAACCAGTTGCAGCTGGGGATGCGAGCTTGTGTTTGTTGTTTTTTGTTTTGAACAAGCACATCCTCATTCCCATGACTGATCACTGTAAGTCAAGTTTCCCAAGCCAAGGGGTAGGTTAAAGGGTAAAGGGCAAACACCCAAGTGTCTCACTTAAGCAAGAACAAAACCAGCACAGTCACTCCGGCACGTGCCAGCTCGCGCACGCGCAGGCTGATGCAAAGCATCGCGTCGGAGGCAGGGTTGGGCAAATGTTTACACAGCCAGGTTTCTGTCCAAAAGGGAGGTTGGGTGCTTTAGCCACGATTTAAGCTGACCCAAACGTGAGTGAGAGTCTTCTGCCCTTTTGTATTTTATTTTGGTGAACATTTCCAGTTCCCACCCCAAGCCAGTTTATACACAACCATGGTTTATACACAAGGGCCTGACAGGATTCAAGCCTTTAAGCCAGTGGTCTCAACCATGTCTACACAAGTCTAAAAATACCTTCCCCATTCTTTCCAGCGATCCTTCTTTTCAGGAAACCATCAACCACCAAGGAGAAACAGCCGGTTTTTGAAAAGAACGATGGTTGAAAAGAGTGGACAGGGAATCAACCCCTAGAGCAACTTGGCTCGCTCGACCGAATGGAAGCGCTCGCCTGAGGCCTCGGTGGTGAGCTTCGGCGCCATGTTGGACGCCTGCGCCAAGGCCAAGGACCCCCAGCGCGCGCTGAGGCGAATGGCGGGGCGGTTTTTGCGGTCGAGCGGTCGAGGGGCGGAGTCGGCGGAGTCGGAAGTTAGGTCCCGGTGATTTTCGATGTGGCTGTGGGTCAACAATGGGATCCCATTTTAGGGTAGGTGAATTCAAATCCACCCATTTTAGAACCTATAGTGGGGATTGGGATGTTCACTGGGGGTTCGATTTGGATTTTGACCCATGGCCATGTGGGTCAAAATTAAGCCACCAGGAAAGGGAGCGCAGGTCTTAGTCTAGGTTTCCATTTAGCAGGGTTCCCCGAAGGTCTTCTGCTACGTTACTTTGGGCTCTAGAGAATCTGGCTGGCTTTCAAGACTAGAGCGGTGAGGAGACACCAACGAGCAATGATCCGCAGCTTGCTGAAGTTACTTGCGTTCACCCACGACTTCCTTCGACTGCCAGGTGGCATGAGACGATGCTGGCTCGTGGCCTGCGGCCGAAGCTTGGCGAGTGTGCAGTCCCAGATCCCCGGCGTTTGGCCAATCATGGACGTGGACAGGGGCTTTCCCAAAAGGAAATTGTTCTGATCCAAAGCCCTGAGATCAGCTTCCAGGATGGAAGGAGCCAGGCATTTGGCTGGTGCCCATGGGCAAGCGACTCAGTGGAATCAGCGCATCGACCCAATCTGCCTTTTGGTTTTGTCCTTGGTCTCAAAGTTCGCCTAAATCTTGGGCCGGAATCACAAGGTCCTTCCCAACTTGCCCAAGAAGATAAGTGGTTAAAGCCTATGCAAGTATCCACACTAAACTTCTGCCAGCGGTTTGATGGGTTCGGAATCAAGTCCAAGGTGACCACCTGCTTTTCCAGCCCCCCGGGTTTTGCCCCCCCACCACTCTTGCCTCGATCCCCCAAAACCGAAAACCGGGTGGTTGCCGACGGCCGAGTCACTGAGGGACTTGACTCCGATCGAAATCCGAGGAACAACACCACCTGCACGGCGCTGGCTGTGGCTTTGGCGCGGGCCGGGGACTTCGCGCAGGCCCTGGGAGCGTTGGAGGCGATGGAGGACTTCGGGCTCCAGGGGGATGACGCTTGCCATGGGGGATTTCTGCCTTTTTGGTGGCTAAACACTGAACCCCTCAAAAAGGTTCCCCCCATTTTTTTGGTTGGGGGATTTCCTTTTTTGGGGGTTGAACTGGAACCTAGCTTTGGGGAGGCTTCGGCTTGGAAGGGAACTTGGACATGGCCTCTGGACTAACATCCCCCTTCCCCCAAAGTGGCTCCTACCACTTGGTTCGAAGGTGCTTCTAGGGGTCAGAACCCTGGCCAACCTCTGCCCAAGCCTAGCCAGGGCCCGTATTGGGATCTCTTTTGATATACTTCAAAGGCTGACAGTATACAGTGTATACAGGTCACACAACTGAGCCCCGAACAATGTTACCAGGGAAGCTCGCGGGCCCTCACCCTGGTCAGAGGCTGAAATTAACGCCCATAGAGGAACCCGCCACTTTAGCTGGCTGCTAACTAGGCCACGAGTACCATGGATTCATCAAGTGAGGTTACCTGAATACAGTTGCCAGAATCAAGCAAATGCGGCAACAGCTGAGTAGATTCGGAGGGTTGGGTTACAGGAGAATCAAGGAAGAGAACTCGTACCCTGCCACCCGATCCCCAAAGACCCCCCAAGGGTTCGAGGCTCATCGGGTCTTAGAAGGGAACAAACATAAGGCCACAGTTCATCCTCCCAGACCAGAATCTCCATGGGCACACATCAAACAGGGATCCCTTCAGGAACAGTCTCAACAGGCAATCCCTTCTGCATACATCAGTCATCATGCTCACCGCTTCGGAGGTATATCGAGCTTACACAATAAGGTCTGGGAATTTCTCAATTTTGGTTTGTGAACTATGAGGGTCCCTTGACGTGTAGACTTGGCTTCCTAAAAGATCACTTTTACCAGCCGACCTAGCGAATCCCTTTGTAAAGCTGGAAAACAGCTGGCGTTTGGATGTATCGTTCATATAGTAATCCCAGACTGGGTTGTGCAAAATCAATGCCGAATCCTTCTGCCAGATGGTCGCGGTTTCCCCTTGTTGTAGTGGTGTTCCACTACGGATTGCGGAGGCTCATGTTTCCCTCCCAAAATGGTCAACCCCAAAAAAGGGTTCCCTTTTTCTACCAGGGCCACTCGGCCAATGGGATGGCGATTTGCCCAGATCCCCTGTTTGCGCTTGTTTCAACACATTTGTGTCTAAATTTGAACTGGTGGACATCATTGATATGGTGGGTTTTTATGTCCAAGAACTATTTAATACACAAATATGGACAGCCGGAAGCGAATCTCATCCGGATACAAAAACCGAGCTCAGGTGAATGTTATATGGGTCCAATACACCTAAGTAAGAATCACATAGACAAAGTATATTGAAGTCATTTCGAGCCACACGCGAGGCAATAACCTTAGATCTGGAAGCCACACCAAGCATGACA